TAAGCCCGAGTCTTACATGGACTAGTGGCTGGCACGGGGTAAAATTCTACTTTCTGTCCCTGGATGCAGTCACCGTGGAAAGGTAGATTAGATACAGGGTAGATGGCTCTATGACACTAAAACGATAGTCAACCCACTAGCCACGCTAGTGAAATACATCCCAGCAGCATCGCCCTTGATAATCCCAGTGCTACACTCTATGAATTACTCACGTGGGGATAAAAAATCTTCCAACAGCCCTCTCGTAACGGGCAAAATTTATCTGGCACTCACTGTCCAACGTATTTATGTTTTGATAAAACAAAAAGGGGGATGAAAACGCGGGAGGCTGAGGGGGTTGTGGATGAAATAGAATAGGGAAAGTATTAGTTCATCCCCATCCATTACCAAATGGCATATGAAATTTTTTTACGTCCACTAAAATGTGATGTTTACAAATTCGAATATTTCCGGCTTTTTTACCTTTTAAAGAGATTATTTTCTTCTCATCTATCATAAATATTTCAAACAAAATGACGCATTGAGGAATATTAATTTTTCTCTGCTCTCGAATTTCTCAAATAATCCAATGTAGACCAAGTTTATATTCCAAGGAGTAAAAGAGCAAAAAGAGGAAGCGAAAAGTTTTGCTTTATCTCAAATACTCTACCCGCTGGGTTTTTTTTTTTATCTCCTTTAACCCTATAACAAATTCCACTTGGCTCGTTCACACCTGAAATACGCTTTACGGTGGGGCGCAGTACGGCAATCGTAAGATAGAAACCGGATATCCTGATGCGCATAAATTTACACCGATTTTCCGGAGTCCAAAGGCAAAGGGAAGTCGATGAGGCATGTTTGACGGGCTCTTTTTTTCCTCTTCTCTTTCTTCTCTTTCTATTACAGTATCAGCGAAGCACTCCTCTGTGTGCTATCAACGAAAGCTCGATCGATAATTGGCCGTTCGAAGGCAAGCTTTTACTCGGGGATTGAAAACGTTTGGTCGCGAGTACTCGTAAAAAATGACGAAGAAAAAAAAAAATGAAAATCGCACTGTGTTGCCACCGCTTAGAGTTTTTATTGTCATCCAAGTCTTTGGGATTTCGTTTTATTGGTCTCGATGGACGTGAAAAGAATCGCTGGGTTGGTGATAATTGCAAATGAAAACGTAAATGCGGAAGTGAAAAAATAAAATGGGAGTAACGGAAGAATTAACAATTATCGAATGAAAAATTGTTGATTCTTGAATGGCCGATGTGACGAGCACAATCTCTCTCTCACCTGTACAACGATAATTTCGCAATTGATCACAATCTCAAAGTAATTTCCTTGAGAAGTAATTGAGTGAGAATGTGCACATCATTGGAACCATTAATGATCCTCATTTCTACATGTTGAACAATTCCTCCTCTGGCATTCGCCATCCTCAAAGTAATAGACATCCCCTAAATTCCGATATTTGCAAGAGCCTGCAGTTGACATCAGTCACCACAATGACACGAGGGATATGTCTTTCCCCCAAAATGTCGAAACCAAGAATCCAACCGCTTCCAAAAGGCCCGAGCATCATTACCCAGTAACGACGAAGTGTAATCTTCTCCAAATGATACAGAACATTTAAGCTCCCTATCTCCTCGAGGTAGACGATACGAGCTTAAACGTTACCAGATATTTACTCAGTCAAATATTTGTCCAGAGGCAAGTGCCACGTACCACATTTAGACAGAACATAAATGTTAAAACTACTCAGCAGCTAGGTTGAGAATTATATTACCCCCAAATGGTACATCCCAATGGAGAGAAATGACCCCTTCACTTGGGTGAATAGAGGTGAAATGAAACAGGGGTCTTGATGGATTTCAAATGAAGTGGTTCATCTGTCATTGTGGAATACTGAAGGTGGGAGTTAAGCGATTTGGATGAAGGGGGCCAAAGTAGGATGACTGAAACAACGGAGCCACCGATAGCTTCTTCACGAGGAGACAATAGATCCATCTGCATGGGCCCTCCATTACCCGATCAGAACATTTGCGTTCGTCTATTGACTTTGTCTTCATAAGTAAGTTTAGCCCGTCGACTAATGGAATTCTGGGCTTGGCTTTTCCACCAAAATTTCTCCGACTCCACTCAACTTCCAGTTGTTGCTACCATTGCATTCATCTCACTTTGCTGTCTATTTACACTGGTGTTGTACCTCACCGGGAAGATACGAGTTCATCCTGTGGACGTGTTTCGTGTACCAACAAGACGGGGTTTAATGGTTCATGAGGCAGATACCGACCAGTGAGGATAAAAGGGTCATCAGGAATCCCAGCTGCCCATGCGTTTCGCTTTCTACTTCGTATCGACGATTGAGTTCATCTGAAATGGATCCGAAGCTCAATTAGAGGAGCACGAAAGGGCTTTGGGTTACACATAACCGATATCATGTAGATAATAATGCCCCAGTCAGGTGAGCATTGGGAGGGCTTGATGCCAATCTCCATGAAATTGGAGAATCGGATGTGCCTGTTGAAGTCTCCCGAACGAGAATAGGACAGAAGATGTGGGAATTAGGGCAGAAGGAGAATGGATACTGAATCCGATCGGCAAATGAGATCGCCACTGAGAGCCGGAAGCTCATTGACATCATTCCACGTACAATTAGTCAATCGTCGGAGTTTATGGCAGTCCCCAAGAGCTAGTGTGCCACTGAGCCCTGATGGCATTTCTCTTTCCATCCAACCACTCTTCATTAACCAAATGATGATAACGGATGCTACACTCAATAGGATGACTGATCTGACAACGTTATAATCAGCATGATCAAAGCCATCATCCATGCTCAATGGAACTCATGTGACGCTTCTGCTATTTATTATCGAGTGCCGAATGAGCTATCAGTGATTGAAACAGACAACGGCAAAGGGACTTACAGCTTCTAGCCTCAAAAAATTACAGGCTGTACATGAGCATAGAGAGGAAAATAACAAATGATGAAACTTGATATCAACAATGTCACCTGACAATAGTGGGATTCACATGGGCGCTGGTTGGAAACAATGGTCTCAGCGTTGGGTATCAATTTCTTGACTCAACAAGGCAACATGGATCTCATCATGCATTGGTGTCCCCGCACTTGAAGTCACCGTACAATTGAATTCTCACTGTCGACAAGTTAATTCGTAACGAGGGTAATGCAGCATCAAGTCGGGTGTAAGTTTTCACGAGGTCTCGCCTGTGGCTTTAATTATAGTCGGCTCGAGTTGAAGTGCTGAGAGATACCTGTGTGTGTTGTACACGGGGTAAAGGCGGGCCCCGGGTTATACGAGAAGAATCCTCTCGGATTTCAGGATGCGGACGACAATGCACTCCGCATGTGGCTAGCAGGAAAGGTAGAATCTTTATATTACAAAATTCCAAATCGAATAGCTTCTCCTTCTCCTCGATATCCATTAGAAATTCAACATTGCCTTGACATACGTTGGATATAGCTCGATACCTTTATTGCATCGGAAATTAAAAGACCATTCGGAATAGTAGCACCGAGTAAAAGCTGTTTGACACCGTGAATGGTGTTTTACAGGTTATCGACGTTGCGGGATACTGCGTAAATCCCCATAGAAAAGTCGTATCCGCGGGATATACTGGTCTTCGGGAAATCCTATCCATCGTACAGCCAAATGACCCTGACAACGTCAGTTCTGACGGGATAGCTGGAGAATAAAATCGAGAGAAGAAACGATGAAATCCTCGAAAGATAAACCGCACAAGAACTCGGACGGATTTCCATGCACCGGAGCTGTGACTTATGTATACTCTTTACTATTTCGCCGACAGTTTATTCACCCTCTTCTGCTATTTTTCTTTGTCTGACTCCTGGGTAGGGTGAGCCACAGCTACAAGAAGCCAGAGCTGATGTATGCACGGTGTATTGTTGTACGATTAGAAGGGTCGGCAAAATATGGCCCATCACAACCATTCCGCTCCGAATAACTACCGACATTATCGCACCCCCCATGGACCATCAGTTTTATTAGAATGTATATCCAACACGCGTTATTCCACATACTCTCTCATTCTCAAATGATGACATCGCAGAATCATCTTGTTTTTATCTGCATCAGTTGCACGAGTGGTATGTGGTCATCGATTTTTCATGAGCTACCAACTAATGGAAGAGAAGTGGATAGATCCGATTGACTGTACGGAATGAATTACTTGATGTGGCGTTAAGGGATGGGCAACGGTCAAAGGATTGAGGGAGAAACATCAATGGCTGAACCTGCGAATGAGGACTCCATTAGATTTCAACATTTCCCTTCATTTTCCCTCGCACTCCTTGTAGGATCAAATGGAATCCTATCAGAATCACGTCATCAACACCCGCTGATAGTCCAAATCCCGGGAGGATATCGATTATCAGGATGCCATTGCCATCTTGTCATTATATTCTAGCAGTTGATTCTTCCGCATTCGTTTTGTGAAGTTCTGAGAAAGAAATTCCTCGCGGATATTTTTCCTTTTTTCTCGATGAAATTTTCTCGTCATGAAATAGAGAAATTCTCGCTAAAAATCTAGACTGGTTTTTCTCTCACTGGCGTAAATACGCTGGGCTCTATAGGAAATCCGAAAATATAAACTCGGATCACGGAGGGAAGTAATTTTCCACGTGATGACGGTCGTGCGGAACGATCTTTCTGGACGTGGAGGGTTTCGCTGGATCGAAGGAGTGTATCCCAGGCGGAAAAAAATAAAAAAAAAAAATCTAGTTCAAATGGCTCGCTGAAGGGGTGTGGCAAATAGTGAAACTTTGGTGCACACGTTCATTAGATCGAAGTTTACCCCGGGGTAATCTTTTTCATTCGCGCCAAAAGTGGTGGAACGTTCGTTACAAGGAAAGATGGGGGTGAAAGGGTTGAAATTTGGTGATGGCGATGACGAGGGCGTCAAGATTGGAATTGAGCTATTATAGTAACTGGTGGTATGAGCTGAGACGATGGGTTCTCAGGGTAAGAGTTATTGGGCTTATGTGCATTTACCTCTATGGTGTTCAGCTTGAAAACAAATTCCACCGGGGGCTTAGATGGTGTAGCTGTGCAATTTGCTTTGAGCGTGTCTCCAGGATCGTAACGATTTCGTTCTGTTGAGATGATGGGCTTGCCCTTTGGTAGAGCTGAAACAAAATCATTCCAGTGAGTAATTCATTGAATTTATTTGATTATCAATAAATTTTTGTCTTCCCTGTCATGAGGATGAAATAAATTTATCCGAAATTTATCCGAAATGTATCCGAAATGCTCCGATAAACTCACCGCTTCATCTCTAAAGACATAATCCAACTCAAATCCGTATTACATCTCGAATTAAACTCATTATTTGTTGGAGGTAGAAGGGGGAAAAAGGGGGAGATCACCAGGTGAAATTCACAATGATTGTTACATCTGAATATACCCACCCTCAAATTCACCCCATATCTCGTAACCGCTCACGCTTCCCTTTAGATTTCATACGTCGTTTAACGTACGAGTTTCACCCTAGTTTTCGAATGAAATTGCTCAACTGTACCCCGAATCCCCTCGAAGCCTTGGAAATTCGTGAATTTCTCTCATTGCCAATCCACACTAGCAAATGAACTCACGATTCGCGAAACGATAGAACAATTAATCGAATCGGGTTACCGTTAGTTTGGGGTGCGATCGTGACCTTTATATCTCGAATATCCAAACGGCACACAACTCGAAATAGGTTTTCTCAATAAGCGAATAACCAAAAGAGAAAAAGATAAAAGCTGTTAAATTTTTCAACCTCTACATTGAGACAATCCAATCGTTTTACGCAAATACCGATGTACCTGGAGGTAGGATTGAAAAGTAGAAGATAGTAACGGGGTATTCCCTTGTGGTTAATGCGGTCGATCGTCTCGATGTGGTGGCGTCACGAGAGAAATGGGAAAACTCGACGGGGGCTTCGTGATCCTTTGAGAAGCTTCTTGCCTTGTCTATAACCCTTTTCGAATCTCCACGGTGTAGCCGCGAAACCATGGCAACACAACCACAGGGCTCTTTATCAAGAAGCAGGTAATGTAATCTTTGGTGAGGATCAGCGTGAAGCAGACTCCAACGTGTCTTTTCTTTTGTTCTAGGTATATAGGATAGTCTCGTTATCGTTGCATGCTGATTAAAACTTTGGTGTACGCGACAAAGGTGGAGTTTCGCTGATGAAATTTATTGGTACTGACGGCTGATTAAGGAGGAGTCGTCCTTTGTAGATGTTGACTGTCACATAGTAAGGCTATTATAATCCTCATTGGCAGATTAATATATTTTTCATTTAAATCTTCATTACATGAAGAACTCAATAACTCCCAATGAAATACTAAAATGACATGGGTCTTTGTTTTTCACCCGTTGGTAATCGAATTTGGAATCGAGAGCAACTCCGGCTTTCTCAGAACATGTGCCACGTCGAACCTGATCAGAATGGATCAATTCCAATCCAATTCTAGTCCGATTGGAATCGGGTATTGATTAGATATCGGTGAGGAAGAATACGGGGAGCTATTCATTGATGAAATCACTGTGTCATGATATTTGACAACGAATAATCCATCGGAGGAACGAGATTAAATGAAAACTGTTAAATCCCTCTGCTGACACCCTCGGACACGAAAAAATTAATCAACTATTGAATGATAATGATAATAATACGCACAAACAACCCAGAGCTTCTTGATGCTCTCCTCCGTGGAGAATGTTGGTGCATCAGCTGTCACCTCGCAGCTGAAATTACCCGTCAGGCCGTACCCCACATTCATTACAGTCACCTGCTCGTGATCAGAATTATTACGCTGAAACGAGAAAAATAAAATAATATGCATTAATCCACCAACGATACAAATCAAATATCCCTTTTTTATTTCACCCCTGAATATTGAAATTTCATGTGAATTAAATGCTATCGTATTTGCGATACTATTCATGGATTGTCACGGTGCTTAGGCTCAAGCCGATTGCAAATAGTCCAGGGGTATTTGTGCAAATGGTCTGGCAAACAATGATTCACGGGTTTGGGTATGAGTGCCACAGGTGCGAGTGCTGAATTGACAAACTTTATTTCGTTTGCTGATGAATAGCGCGATGCACCCATAAAAAATATCAAAATATATATCATTTGGTATTTTTTTTTTTTTGGTTAAATCAATCGCATGTTAATTGTCATACTCACGTGAACGGTTATTCCAGTTATGTTGAATACTTTAATGGGTGGACTCTCTGATGGTGAATAGCGGTAAAATTCGTGCTTACCCCGATACCACTTGACAGAATACAGGGGTTCATTCTCTCGTTCGTAATGACAACGTAATGTTACCTCGTGACCGCGTTCAACGATCTCCGGGATCATCTCCAGGACGACATTCCTCAGACTACGCACCCCTACAAACATAGAAACAGAGAAATGATAATTTCAACGGGACATTAAAATAACTCGTGCTGAATGCCTGATCGGGTATTTGTAATGAGTTTTTTTTTTGACAAAAAATGGGGTGGGAAAAAGAGAATGCATCAAGTCTAGTGCACGTCATTAGGCGGCTTTTATACAGAGGGACAACGAGTGCCGAGGGTTGTACGCGTCAGCGAGAAATTGCAATTCTGGCAAATGACTTCTCGTGGCATCCTCTCGGTAACGTCGGTTTTCCGTTTTCCGCACGCTCTTTCAACTCATCCCTCCCTCGACTTGCCGGTCCTCAGCCTCCTTTTCTCCCTGCCTACGCGCTCCAAATTCCAACCACTTTGCCACCACCAGTGCGCGAGATTATTCCCCTCATCGAGCCTCAACTCCCACTCGTTTCTATTATGGACATTGTCGTATTCGTTCAATATGTGGTTAAGCCAAAAAGAATTGGAGGCCATGATTGGAATTCTCAGTCAAATGAGTTTTTTTTTTTTTTCTTTCTCTCCGCATAAACTTTTTCATCCGGACGATATGACAAATCGAACTTGCTATTCACGTCACAAGTGATGGGATCAGGGGAGATATCAGTATTCATCGAATAGCGTTTGCCTGTGAATTCAGTGATTCTGTGTTTGTTTGATTTTTTCTTTTTTTTCTCATCACAGCTGGTGGATTTTAATAAGGAAATAATGAGTTTATCGCCCCGAAAAATTGAGGAAAATCCCAGGCAGTTTGAGGTAAGAAAAATTCACGGAGTAGCTCATTATCATTTGACAGAGACTAATTACGATTACTAGCGTCTCTCAAGGAGTCGAATAAGTGCGCTGGAAAATGTTGGACTTGGAAACCCAGCAACAACTCTACTTGAGCACATAGGCGTGAACTGTTGAGTCAGCAACTTGCAATTCAGCTGGATGGTGGATCTCACCCAACTTCTGGAGCAGCTGTTCAGAAAAGTTTCTCGTCCTCCTATTACTCGTTCAATTTTTAATTATCGATAAGAAAAATAAGACACGTCACTTATTTTGCAGATTTATCAAGATTCGAGACGTAAATTCAGATGAAAAAAGGATTTATGCAGTCTATTATTATGTCTTTGGGATTGAAGAGCTCAAGAAATATCACATCAAGTTTGAGTTGAAGAGGTGCATCACCTAATTGTACTCTATCTACTCGTCACTCGCTTTATAAGTGACGGTCTAACCCGCCAACCGTCAAGTTCTTTCGTACTTTAAGCGTTAATTTTTTTTCGTTCCGTCGATTGCCTTTCCCTTCCCGAACAAGGAGAGAGAAGAAAACATGAGCAGAGCCGAGGGGATGGGTTAGGAGACGAGTGCGAAAGTTTTAATAGCTGCTCTTCCCTCAGTATTCTGTAATATATAGAGGAACTGGTCTATGAGATATTTTCCTCAGCCAACTTGTTGAAATTTTTTTACCTCCCCTGGACTGATGAGTATTAGAGAAGAAAATTGAGGGCTCCGGAAATTAAAGGAAATGAGAAATCCATCGAGAATATAAAAAATTCACAATTATCGTGATTATCATTGCGGCAACACTGCAGTTACTGGTGATTTTTTTTTATTCTTCTGGGGTTTAGTGTAACGATCCAAGTGATTACACCTTGGAACGCAAGATAGGGTGGAACAATTAGAGATGAAAGTGCAACATCGTGAAAGAAAGTGTAAACGATGTTGTCTTCTTGTTCATTTATACTCCTCTGAATAATTGCACTGACACTTTGTGATGCATTCATTCGTAACTTCCCTCGTTTCATTATTTGCATCGTGTAGAAACACATTTACGGTGAGTTTCAAAGAGATGAATTCACGATAGTTACGGCGATAGTATATACCAGGTGGCTGGGACATAGTTTTACAGCGCCCGCATCTGCAACGTCTCAGAGGAAACTACCCTATAAGTACTTGCATATCCAAGCCTCATTATTTTCATGGGATTCATGAGACAACAGAGAAGTTAACTAACGTCGGATATCAGGAACTCAACGGTCTATTTGCATTCTGAAAATTTACCGGTAAAAATTGAAAACCATTACTTCCAATTCCGTTGACAATCGCTTAATCGTCAACTCCACGCGGAATAATTCATCAATTTTTGTACTCTCTTCAGGATTATTTTTGTTTTTTCAAGTGCCATCAGGTTTATTCGTATATTTTTTATTCTCTCAACAATAATTTGTATGCACCACCGTAAACATTGACGGTAGGTGTGAAGGAGTATCACTGGCTCTCGCGCGATTGGAATACATATCGATTCACACCGGCGTCGAGTGGCTGTGGACAAGAAATCATGTACTTTTTATAGTTTCGATACTACACACTCTGAATGGAAAGATATTTTACCAGGAAGAATGGCCTTGTCACACCCAGTGCATCCTCCAATATTCTAATATCGAGTAAGAGCAGAGAGTTTCGGTGTCAGCGCTCCTCCGGTTAAATTCAATTCGATGAGTTCATAAATTATTTTTTTTACCGCGGATTCTGCTGATTTTTTAAATGTCATTTTTATTTATTTACGCGGACGTGAGTGGGGGTGTGAACCCTCGACATAATGACGAGGTGGGAATTCTCAGGGAAAATATCTCAGATGGTGAACAATAGAATGAAGAACGGAGAGTGAGTACCAGGAGAGGTCGTAGATTGGGACGACTCATCCTTCTCGCTTCTCCATCCGGAACTTTACTAGTTTCTCCTCTTCAACCACGCGAAACTATTGCATTTTCTCATGATCAACGAACTAGAAGGAGCCGCGACGCTTCCATCGTGCCATAGTTCACTCTTAGGACTCCACTGTTGGAAAATTACTCTTGAAATCTTCAACAACGACAAATTTACAGGAAATTCACGTGCATTTTCCCAACGGTAAATCATTTAACCTCTTAAATATTTTATTAAATATCAGGTTGACTTTTCATAACAATTATGCATACCAATGATCACGTAATTATTATTTATCCGTCAGTTTTTTTCATAACATTTTTTTATTCCGCATAATATTTTATTGAGGAATTCTCGGTTTTACTGCGCCTTAAAATAACGAAATTACCGTGAATTTACGTGAACGACTTGATCTGAAATTGACTTAAAATTCATTCTGGAAAATGCAAAAATTTTCAAAGAGCATTGGACTTTTTCCACTTCCACTGAAGAATGGCGCGATAAAGTGGAGAATTCATATCAGTCTGAAAATCGCAATTCCCGTTGTATCGAAAACTCGTCCAATGAAAGAGGATAATCTTTACTACCGGGTGTGAGTCGAAATTTTATACTGCTGCATATAGATGGAGTATACCAAAGGAAGAGGAGGGTTATTGAATATATTAAAGGTCATTCACGATTTAGAGATATACCCACGGAAAACTTATCGTGTATTTTGATGGCCGAGGGCGAGGAATGCGTTTTTATTGACGGGGGGAGGGGTTAAGGGGAGTTGAATATAACGATTCCACTATCTAATAGGCAATCTCTTAAATTTTCAATTGACTTTACGGATTCTCTAAAGAATTAATCGAATTTCCTAGTAAAAAAAATTGCAGAATAATTTTTTACGCTCCAGTTAAATTTCAAAATGTGACCAGACATTTTTAGTCTAGGGATGAGGAATATACAGAATTTACCCTACTCCAGTAATATTTTATCTTGGGATGCAGGACTACGACTCTTTGGCAATATCCATACTGGAGTAAGCATCGATTTCTCGGGTGGTCTCGGGGTTTATCGTGTCCAAACGTATCAATCCGTTTCGGTGATTGAGCGACAAAAAAAAAAAATGGGATGAAGATGGAAGCGTTTTTTGAGGAGAATGGGCCACAGGGCGAGGGTGATATTTCTTTTTAACCTAGGAGAATGGATGACGGGTAATAATTGAATTTCAATGACACTGACACATTCAATGACATTCGTGTTGCGGTGGTGGGATTACTATCTATCACGGTGCGTCTGACAAGCGGTTGGATTTCAATGAATGCCGTGTCAGGTGATTAACGGTTATAACGCAAGTCTGAAGATTTCGATTTGACGCACTCCATGATATTTCAGACCAAGAAAAATTCATTTCTCTTTTTTCGGGATTCAATAGATTAATTTAGAATTTCCAGTAATTTCCAGTAATTCCCATTAATTTCCAGTAATTCCCATTAATTTCCAGTAATGACCTCACATTTTAATGATTACGAAAACACTTGAATTCACTTGCATTGATCATTGCATTCTCGGAACAAAATACCCCCTGGGTATCACCGGTGAATAACCGTCATTGTTATTTCTCCGGTGTCGTACGCGTTCACCTGTTTTATATCGAGCCTTTTGTCTTAGCGTTCTCGAATAAAAAATAGAAATAAAGCCACATGGTAGAGTGAAAGAAAACGAGGGGAAAAAATTGCGCATGGCCAGGCTTCACTGGCGATGCAGTCATGCTTACCAATTATCCGTTCTTGTACGATACAAGAATACCCATTTATGCATCACGAGCTTTTGTACGCTGATCGTTCGGTCGTTTACGTGGGAATATGTCAAGTTGTGGACAAGAATAAATTGTTTGAATGAAAAACACGTGAATTCCTCCAAGTCTCACTGGACTATTATATTTTATATTATTTAAACAATTTTATTTAATTTCATTCAGCAATTTTTTGATATCTGTATCGCTATATCCAATTTTTTAATGTGAAAATCTTGTTAAAAATTTAAAAGCTTGACAATCAAAGGGAAAGACTGAAGCTATGGCGACAGAATAAGGATTTCTCGAGCAGCGGTGGACGGGAGAAAACGAGTAATTGATGAATGCAAACAGCCTCCACCCACGAACATGCCAAACAGACTCAATACACAAAGCCCCGGAAATTACTCTGCACATTAGCTAGTCTCATTTACTCATCAGCGGCTAACAACCGCGTGCATTTGTTCACTAGATGAGGTTGAATGACCCATGGCAGTGTGCAACCAACTGCTCGTTGTTTTCTTTC